CATCACAACCAGTGTCTCTGGAACGTCAGGGCAGGTCACAGGCTGTTCCTTGTAGGTCCCAGGCCTGCTTCTCAGGCCCTGTCTGTGCTGCAGGGATGCTGTGAGTTGGACACTTGCTCTGGTGGTGGTCACACGCTCTCAGGCTCTAGGTGGCAGGACACTTCTTCCCAGTGTCACCCCCGCCCGGTCGGGGTTATGATCCCCCTGCAAGTCTGGCCTGCAAGGCCTCTTGGCTGAGGTGTCTCCCTGTGCTGGGCCCACTGCCCAGGGTCCCCCTCACTCTCCCCAGCTGCTCACCGCACTCGGACTGCACACGGCTCCGGACTGCCCCAGCCCCAGCTCCGGACTGCTCCAGCCCCGGCTCTAGCTCCACTCGGCCTCAGCACGGCTGCTGCTGCTGCTCTGCCTTCAGCTCCCTGGGCTGCTTCTCTGGCCCCTCTGGCTCTGGTTGCTGCAGCTCTGCCCCCAGCACAGGTCAGCTCTGCTCTCTCTGGGCTGTGCTCTGGCTTTGGGGCTGCAGCTCTGCTTCCAGCAGCTTAGCTCGGGCCCCTGCTCTCTCCTTAGCTCGGCCCCCCTCTGTCTGACCCAGGCCATTCCAGTTCACACGGAGGACGGGACCCCCCTGGCCTCCTGACTCCCTGATTAGCCTGCCCGCCCTGTCAATCAGGCTGATCTGGAGCATTGACCTCTCCCCTTTTAGTGCTGGGAGCTAGTCACCAAAACACCCCCACTGAATGTTAGTAAGGGGGCAACAGTCCCCTTACATATGCATGAAGGAGTCTTCTCCCTCCACTGCAAGCATCCTATTCCTACAGCCTATCCCAGTGTACCAGCTCCTTCAACATTTTGTGTGGTGTTTTTTTTTAAAGCCTCAGCTTCTGGAATCATGTCATTACATGAAAATCTCAGCTTTCCTTTGAAAAAAGGGAAATTTCTAGCCCTCCTGGTTGCAGAGAGAGCCTTGAAAATGTGACCCCTGAAGGCTCAACTAGTAAAAGGCAAATCAAAGCATAAAATGTATGCCAATCTCACACCTTTTGGGGCCAACTCATGGATGGTGAGTGGTTGGGGCTAGCAGCATGGCAAATCCAAGCAGCAATGTTTAACATGGCACTAGTAGGTAGAAATATCTCCATTTCCATTATTGCATGCAACCTGTATTAACATACAAGCATTTGCCTGGGGTGCAACTTTGCTGTTTTCACAGAGAGCTGTTTTTGGTGGTGAAATTTGTTTTCTTCCTACCAAAATTGCTTTTTGTTTACATGACTATTTGGAGATGCAGATGAAAACTGTCTTGGCTTAGCAAGATCCTGAGCTTTGAGACATGTGGTGACCTTTAAAAACACCCCCATTCTTCAACACTGCTGTTAGGGATCGCATGTAGTGAGCTCCCATCACTAATCACTTACTATGTGGCTCTGAGTCTTGTCTGCCGCTCACACCATTCTTGTATTTCATGTGCCGATTTCGATTCATATTGCTGTAGTGTGGACCAAAAGTCATGCATGCCTGGTGTCGCTTGTTTCTCAAACACGTGAGACTCACTGAAGTTATAAGACAAACTTCCCCGGTTAAATACATACAGTAGATCTGAGTGGGAGACAGAGGTGGATCCTGGTTGGGAGGGATTTGGGAATGCTGGAATCCGGGAATGCTGTGTGAGGATATCTGGAACAAGCCCTAGGGTATTGGCAAGCAAGACAGCATAGGAAGTAACCGCAGAGAAAAGTGAACTAATGTGGAAGTTTTGTTAGATAGAAACTCATGGTTGAAAGCTGTGGTGGAGGGAAGGCTTGAGTGCCCCTATGCATCCTATGTACTTCTTGAAGGGGCAAAGCTGATGCCCCATGACTAAGGGGCAAAGGATTGCTGTAAGCTCCTGTTTGAAGGAGAGCAGACTGATCCTATGGGGAGAGTGGCTAGGAAAGGCAGAGGGTCCCCTGTAGTGAGGGGAGATGACCCATGCTTTCCTTTACTGTGGAAGAGAAGAACTTTGTCTTAAATCCAAATCCCTCCACCAACCCTGGGGAATCTTTTTTTTTTAAGGCTGAAAACAGACATAGACACATGCAGCTGATGACAAAGTAAGCTGCACCTTGCAGTGCCGATAACCTCTTTGTATTTTGTCATTTAACCGTCTTCTGCTTCTCCTCTTGCCTTTGTACTTCCCTTTGTTCAGAAGTTTGTCTGCGTATCTCCTGCCGCTGCTATGCTTCATTGGATTAGTTCCCTTTCTGAGTAGAAAGAGCTTAGCTTCCTCATAACTAATGTAAGGTTTTTAGAAACTTCCCCCTTTTAGAAATTCCCCTAAGTTAGTAATGCCATAATTTTTTTTTAGTAAACTCTTTGGGGCAGAGGCTGTCTATTACTCTGGGCTTGTGCAGCACCTGGCACAATGGGGAACCAATCTGTGATTGGTCCCTCGGCACGACCGTAACAAACATGGTTAATAAATGACAGAAATGTAGGTCTGGAAGGGACCTTGAGAGGTCGTCTAGTCCAGCCCCCTGTGCTGAGGCAGGATTGAGTACACCTAGACCATCTCTGACCATCCAACCGGTTCTTAAAAACCTCCAGTGATGTGGATTCCAAAACCTCCCTTGGAAGCCTATTCCAGACCTTAACTCTCCTTATATTTAGAAACTTTTTCCTAATATCTAACCTAAATCTCCTTTGCTGCAAATTATGCTGATTACTTCTAGTCCTACCTTCGGTGAACATGGAGAACAATTGATCACTGTCCTCTTTGTAAAAGCCCTTAACATATTTGAAGACTGGTACCAGGTTCCCCTTTTCTCTAGAGTAATCACGCCCAATTTTTAACCTTCCTTTATAGCTCAGATTCTCTAAACCTTTTATCACTTTTCTCTGCCCATCTCCAGTCCTCTGGGACCTTACCTATGCTTCATGAGTTCTCAAATATAGTTGCTAACATTTCCAAGATTGCTTCAGCTAATTCCTTAAGTACCCTAGGGTGAATTTCATCTGGCCCTCCTGACTTGAATCCATCTAACTTATGTCAATATTCTTTAACCTGTTCTTTCCGTGTTTTAGCTTGTGTTCTTTCCCCCTTGTTGTTAATATTAGTTGTGTTAAGTTCTGGTCACAATTTACCTTTTTAGTGAAGCCTGAAGCGAAATAGCCATTAAACACCTCAGCCTTCTTGATATCACACATCATTAGCTCGCCTTCCCTGCTAAGTTGAGGGCCTACACTTTTCTTCATCTTTCTCTTGCTTCTAATGTGTTCACAGAACCTCTTTGACTTTTATGTCTCTTTCTAGGAGTAACGCATTTTGTGCCTGAGCATTTCTGATTTTGTCCCTACATTTTTGTAATTGAGGGATGTTGGGGGTGGGGAGGGAGCAGTAACTGGAATTGATGGGGTGTGGGGGGAGGACTAACTTGAATTGATGGGGCATGCTGAGGGTGGGGACACTAACTGGCAGAAAGGGGATGCTGGAGTTGGGGGACCACTAAATGGCTGTAGTGGGGAGAGGCAGTGAGGGAAGACGAGTTCTGTGTGTGTGGGGAGAGGCAATAATGGGCAGCGGGGAGGTGTCACTCCCTGGAGCGGGGAAATCAAGGCACACGGGGGGGGGGGGATGGGAGACAGGATCCACCCTAGGTGGCAGCAGCGGTACCTTCCTCTCCATCAGCCAGTTCTCTCCATCAGCAGCAGCAGCAGCTAAGTAGCTGCTGCTTTTCCTGCCCTCTCGGTGGGGAGGTTGATCGCGATTACTCCAGTAACCGGACTTTTAGTGTCCAGTCAGCAGTGCTGAGTGGACACTGCCAGGTCCCCTTTATGACCGGACACCTGGCAACCCTAAAATACAAAAGCTGCTGTCCCTGCAATGAGTTCCCTGAAAGGTAGCAGGATGGAGGACTGGACAACCTGGGTGAGAGGGGGTTGGATTCAGGGCCTGCTAAATTCAAATGGGACTGAACAGAATCCAAGACAGTAGGTGGGAGTCTCCCCTAGCATGGAGCTGCAGCAGTGCTGAGTTGCTCCAGTCCGTGTGTCCGTGGTGCCGGGTCTGCAAGGTGGACGCGTGCCAGCTTTTCAAGCTTGAGTCACAGAAAGGCCAGTGCTACCAACGTGTTTGCTGTATGAGGATTATTTTCAACCAGATACTGGCATGGCAAGGCTGGAGAGCTGAAACCCCGGAGCAGCTCCGAGCAGCAGCCACATATCCCTGTGTGGACTCTCAGCAGGGCCCGAGGCCGAGAAATACAGACAGACTGAGCCTGAATGAAAAGTTGATCGTCTTATCCTCTCATGTTTCCTCTTTGTCTGATACCCCTTTTTAGAGACCTCAGGGTGAGAACCTCACCTCCACAGGGGTTCCTTCATGCAAGGTAAAAGGGCCAGCGTGGCACAAAGCCCCATAGGTTACTGGGGGAGGATTCCCCCAGTGCAGACACTAAAGAGAAAGCCATAAAACTTTTCCAAGGACCCCCTTGAAAGCCCAGGCCTAGGGGGCATGCCAGGGGCAGGGGCTGAGGGGTTGGACCATACCATGCTGCAGAGGTTCCAGAAGATGCGTGGCCCAAAGGGAGGCTGCCCTTGGGGCTCCCTGGGGCTGGGTCAATTATTCTGGTGGCCATAGAGTAACCCAAGATGGGGAGAGTGCAAGCCGCAGCATTGCCCTCGATGCCCATGCACCTAGGGTTACCATTCGTCCGGATTCCCCCGGACATGTCCGGCTTTTTGAGCTAAAAATAGCGTCCGGGGGGAATTTGTAAATGTCCGGACTTCCCCGCCGCCCATGCAGAGCGCGCGCGGCTAACAGGGCAGCCGGCTGGATGGTGCCACTTACATGGGGCTCCGTCAGCCAGAGAGAGCCCCTCCTCCTCTCCCCTGCAGCAGAGATCACTCCCTCCCTCCCTGCATTCGCAGATCGCCTCCGGCAGTCTGGAGCTCCTCCCCCGCTCCTCTTCCACTGCTGCCCAGCATGCTGGGACGAACGGCTCAGGCCGTTCCTGAGCAAGTTCACAGAGACATTAGGCAAAGGCCAACAACAAGGGGGCCAGGGGGTCGGAGAAGGGGCAGGGAAGTTTTGGAGGGGGCAGTCAAGAGACGGGGGGTGGTCAGGAGTTCGGGGGGGGCTTTCTGGGGGGGGTGGATAAGGTTTTGGGCAGTCAGGGTACAGGTAGGGGGTAGGGTCCTGGGGGGGCAGTTAGGGGGGAGGATCTCGGGAGGGGGCAGTCAGGGGACAAGAGGCAGAGAGGCTTGGGTAGGGGGTGGAGTCCTGGGGGGGCAGTTAGGGGCAGGGGTCCCAGGAGGGGGCAGTCAGGGGACAAGGAGCTGGGGGAGGGTTGGGGGTTCTGAGGGGGGC